TACCTTAGTCTCAGAAACAGATTTTTTTTTAACTAGGCAAATATAGTGTTCAAAGCTTACTGTCGAAATCTGAGCCTTCAAATCCATGTGTGTCCAAAATTATCCCCGTTTGAATGTTAAAATGCCGACTCGTCATTTTAAAATATTCTGTGATATAATATAGTGAGTAAAATTCCTAGTTTGAAGTATGTTTAAAGGGATGGTGCTTTTTTCTTACAATTCTTGTACTTCTTAAGACTATTTACATATTTTCAACACTCAAATCAAACTCCAAAATGGAACAACAGTCCCTTTTACAACAAGGATGATAAAGGTTTATATTGATTGGGCTTGAATAATACACATTGATTACATATATAAAATAAAGGGATATTGTGGAATCCCTAAGAAAAGGGTTTAAAGGTCTATGCCCGTATTAAGGGACTCAGTCAAATAAAGGAGATTTTGGTTCGTGCCCCAAATTGTTACGCTTTGGTTCGTCTGTTATATCGTCGTTAGTTGTTCTTAGAAATGTTCTCTTATAACTTGCTGATTGAGACTATCAGTATTATCAAGTGCATGGTCATATATTAACTTTACCATTTAGTTACTAAACGATAGATTTACCTTGTGGCCAAGTAGTATACTTCGACATGACCTTGGAACTGAACATCTGAATAACCGTAGACAACAACCGTCTGTCCTCTTCTGACTTAATGTAGTGTAAAGATGACAATAAATCGGGTATAGCTGTCATACTCCATACATTGTAGGCCATTTCATTTTCATTCTGTATGTTCTGAATGACAAAGAATCATTAATCAGTGACGTTTTTAAAGGTGGAGAAACCTTGTTTTAGTACAGACCATAGAATTTTCAATCATCAGACAAGTTCAGACAGGAAGCCAATTATAAGAAATTACAACATTATAATGAGTGCGTATAAAAATGGTATCTATATGTTAAAAGAATTAACACAACTTAATAGTATAGATTTGATAAAGAAAATGTCTAAACATACCCGGAAGCTTATGTCAAATGTATACATACCTTCAATGACTGATCAATTTTTCCTGCCAGACAGCCCACTTCATAAGCTAATGCCGGAGTGACATTGATTGCCTTGTATGGAATCCCCGGTATAAAGTTAAATAAACGTACCAAAAAATAGTCTTTACCACCTAAATTGAAAAAAAGCGATAATAGCATATCAATTATTTCAGTTCTCACCATCCCTGTATTTAATTGTCCAAATGACCTACTACTAGGGGAATATTATAGATAAGTGGTTCAAGACTACCATATACAAGATGATTGCTGAGATTTGTTTCTTCTTGAATAAAAGCAATTCTTTTGGTATAAACATGTGGGTATTTCTCTTGCAGAGCCCTATAGTGTTTTTTTTCACAATAACTGACACATAGGTCGCACTATGATTATAGGTAATAATGAAGGGGATTATTTGGTTATCGTGCTGAATATTTAGACCATTCCAGCTGGTCCATAACTCTCGTGCTGTAATCTTCTATGTTTTGGTTAAATGTTAAATATCCGCGCAACAGTCTCGATAGGCATAACTATCAAGTGCTCAATGGAGTGTTCAGGGAGGTTAAAATGATTCGCAATCGTCTGTTTTTGCGATGTAGGCCTATGATATTTAATATGATATGGCCATTAAAAGTTATCAAAATACTTTTAGTTTCGCTGACATATTGGACGTAGCATTTTTAATAAGAAATTAGGTATATTAAATTTAGGTCAACACAAGAAAGTCGATCACTCATAAGTAAATTTTTACGGGATTTTTGTTATGAAGATAATGAGAAACAGGTACATGATCGCAGATACAACACGTGTAACCTCAACCCGGTATTGATCCAAACCATTATAAAGGGGAATGGGGTTACTCTTTCCCTGAAGGTTCAAAAGTGTGTCGTTTTTAATTTGGCACAGTAAACGTTTTGATTAACCCCTTTCTCGTGTGTGTTTCTGGTGAAAAGAATTTTTAAATAAATGTTTGCGAGTATCAGTCTTTTTGAAATGCACACATCACGCTTTTCAGTTTCATCAAAATTAATACCTTTGAACACTGTCGTGTCGATTTTTGTTTTGCAAATATTCGCGGTTAATTTTACTGTTTAATGATGGTTATTTAGAATTTCAATATACTGCCGAAAATTCTCAAGAGATTCAGTCCAAATGATAGAAATGTCGTCAAAAAACCTTCCATATAGAAAAGAGGTTTGAAAGGTGGAATACATACGCATAACTTGGGGCAATGCGTTTCCCCGTGGCCGTATCAGATATTTGAAGACTCTCTTTTCTGGTCATTTTTTTTTTTTGTAAACAATATTTTATTCACATAGGAAAGGATTGGGGAACAGGCTTTCGCCTATATTACCCCTCTCCCGAAAAAAAAAACATTACATTATATATATGCAAAAATTGTACAATAAAAATAAAATGAAACATAGTAATTTTGTTATTTTGAAATTAACTAAACATATTTACATGAGAGATCATTACACCTCAGTGCTGGTGATATTGGTTGAAGATTAGGAAATGCAGAATCTTTTACTTAACTGAATGAAATTATGAACTTGCTGGAAAACGGTTATTGTTGATTCTTGACATGTTGTTCCATATAAAAGAATATTAATTGATAGATCTGTAGGTTGAAGTAGAAAGAGAGTATTTTTTCGTACATCTGAATGCATCGGACAATGGAGTAGGTAGTGTGTAGGATCTTCGAATTGGTGACCACAAAGGCAAGTAGGATTGTCCGAAACATGTCGTTGAAATTTGTGTCCATTTAGCCCATTTTTTATATTTGTTGACAGGTTATTCCATTCTCTGATGCTAGATGGTATAAAAGACCTATAAAATAACCCTGTCCTACAATTGTATTCTTTTAAATCGTTAACATTTCTTAAGTTGTATGGGTTATCGTTTAAATGAATCAGATTGGAAAGGTAATTTGGAGTTAAGTTGTTATAAGTTTTATATTATAGTTAATTTATAGCGCAGTCGTCTTTCTTGTAGGGTTAGGGTTACTACACCTGTTTCTTGATATAATAGTCTGTGGCTGGTACCCTTCACAGCACCGCATATAGTCCTGAGTGCGTCTAATTGGAGAGATTCTTACATGTCTTTTAGTTTTCTGGTCATTTTTCTTGTCTTTTTCAACTAAAAAGCTTTCGTATGGCAGTTTTTAACGGAAAAGTGTGGGATCCTTCTTTTTTGACTGTTTTCTATCGATCATTTACCTTCGTATTGACGAAAGTTTAAGGCCACTATAAGGATTGTAGTTAAATAACGACAAAAAAATTTCTATTTTAAAGTTTTCGTTTATCACTATAACGACATTTCGCGCATCAACTTGTTATGTTTATGTTCAAATCTGCTGATAATCAAAAATTCAGAAAAGTCAATCGAAAGTGACTTAATTTGGAATGACAATTCAGTGAACCAAGTAAAAACAATTTGGTATAATTTTCTGAAAACTATTTAATCTGATCATCATCATCTTCACTATGTCAAGCTATTACGAACTACGTCTTAAACCATAACTGTAATAGCCACATTTCTAGTAGCCTATCACAAAAGTTTTTAATTGAAGCTATTTTTTGAATTGTAAGTTAGCGAAAATAACCAATCAGAGCCCTCGAAAGAAAGACTTTTAACAATTTGGCTGCGCGTGTAATTGGGGCGATGATTTTGTGTATTAGGTGGCGTACAATCCAATCAAATAGCTGCATTAATAAACATATAATATATACGAAATATAGCTATTGCAGTCCGAGGTTTTAAACTAGTTCATAACAGACATTGTGAAGATGGCATTCGAAAGACCATATTCTGGGAATTCAAACGATACCACAGCCTACCTCGACTTGCTGGCAATGATTGTATTGATGAGTTCTCTCCCTTTATATTCAATATTGGTACCGTTGTGTTAATACCACTTTCATTGATCTTCTTCATTATTCTATGCTGCAACTCTTTAAATAAAATACATGTAAAACAAACTTGGTCTACAGGTAGGATGATCATAATTGGAGAGCATGTGAGAATTCAAGCAGCTTGTGAATATCAAAGGGGTATATATGAGTATTTCTTGTAAAATCAAAGATAGACTGCAAGGCAATTTGGGTAACTCAATCCAAGAATTGTTCGTCTTATTGATCAATTTATAATAGAAAGTACGGTGTACGGATAAATTTGTTTTCCAGACCTAAACCTATTTACATTATGGTTGAGTCTTAAAAAGGCGAGTCGTCAACAATGTAATTTTCAAACACGGATAACTATGAAAAAACATGGCTTAGAAGGCTAAATTTGGACAGTAAGCTGTGAACACTCTTACTGATGAACTTTTTTTTTTTATTCTTTCAAAGCTGTGGCTTAACTGTTTTACTGCAAATAGTTAGAATACAATTTGATATTAAGATTTATACCATTTAAAGGCCGAAACACGTTTTGAAGAATAATGATTACAAGCTAAAAAGATTTTTTTTTTAAATTTAGGATTGGTTTAACCTTGGGTGATAATGAACAATTTCATCAAGTTTTGTCCAAAACTTTGAATGACATTTAGCAATTGTGAGTACAATATATAGACACAGTTTTCTGGAACAACAATCACTGGTTAAAGTTTATGCAACATTTCGACGTGTTTCCCCCGTCGTCCTCAGGCACATACTGATAAGTGATGGGCGAACTATAAGTACATTAAAGATTATTATTAAGAACACACAGGAGATAAATTGGTTTTAGTACATTACATTAAATTTTCACAGATATTCTTAAAATAACATACACGCTGATTAAATATAATAATTGACAAAAGTAAAGTAATTAAAAGATTAATTGAAGATTATTGCTAGTAATGGAGTCTTGTATTAATAGAAATTACATTGTCTTAAATAACTGACTATGGTTTAAGTTGAAATATTTGTTGAATTATATTGAATACATTTTATGAATATAAAAGTTTATCATTATGCACACGTTATCAAACACCCCCATCTCTGATTTTATTATGCCCCTAAGAGAATAAGTACGAAGGCAATAACTCATATTAGATATTTCCTTTATTTTCGATAGGGTTCATCCTGGTTTGATTTCAACAGGTTTCGTCAAATCCTCACTCCTTGCTTACGAGCAATTAATGCAATTTAGGCACAAGTATTGATCCCTTTAATTTTGTCCATGGAAACAACTAACGATAACAATACATGTATTTGTAAATGTGACATTTTACATTGAGAAATGCGACACTTTAGACAAATAACGATCGTTAAATTATTTTAGAAACGCTACCCATCTCTTTGATACATGTTTGTATCTTAATATATAATATTATATCATCAATATACTTACCAATAGGTTGGTTTATAGTATTCTGTGAATTGAGTATCTTTAATGTGTATCCATTAGTATCTATCTTGGTTAAAAACTTATTCTGATGAATATTGGGGTCTACGCGAATAAAAACATTAGTGTCGTCATAACTTTCTAATGGTTTCATTTCTATTAACTTTAAACCATATAGTTCGAAAACAAGTTTCCCTACATCCACCAATTCTAAATTTGGTTTAATAAACAACCCTTCCATTTCCATACTACAAATAAATTAATATTGGATACCAAATGCGCACCGAGCAATAAAACGAAAAAAAAAAACCCAATGTTTTCCAAAATTATATGATTATATTACGTAGACTACGAATAAGTTATGAAATTAGGACAAACGCTAGACTGATGTCGATAGGCACTAAAAACTAACTAGGTGAACATGTAGAATAATTGACACGAAAATTAATACCGTGCAGAGCGTCATTTAGAATCAGACCACAGAAAACTTCGACAGTTATTATAGTCCAGCTCTTACTCGTTTAAATACCAAATCAAATCAGTAGCCTCTTAATGTGAGGAATTCTGGAATATTTTTAAGCCAACTTTTAATAGTCCCTAAGATTGGAGTACATAAGTTGTTCCGATTTTTGAATCTTTTCACTCAGCATTGCTTGAATATGACTGATTTTGACAGTTCATAGATGGCGAGTGTCGAAACACGCGTGTTGGTTGCGTTTGAGTTAGTCCTACGCGTTGAACCTATGATCTTCCTATGGTCGTGACTGTGTGGGTTTCGTTTGATTTCGTCTAATACAGGTACGCAACAAATAAAACATCATATTTAACAAAATAACAAAGATAAAAGAATTAATTGGATTGCCGATATGACTGCTCCAATTGGTTGTATAGAAAGAATATCATACCTTGTGTTTCCCGGACCATGAAGCGTGTAATTATTTTTTACTTGAGTTTTTAGACAAAAATGAGTTGTATCCACTGGAGCGTAAACTTGACAAATTTTTCTTTAATGCATTCATCATCGTTTACAAACAAAACATGATGGTCCGTCAATGCATATTCTATTCAGATATAAGCTAATGACAAATTCTCAATTGCGGCTTTCAATATGCTCAAAACGACATATTCTTAGAGATTCTCACCTTTCAATAAAACTCGCTATATATACCTATACACCATACCCTTCAACCCTGTTTCATCTTGACGATCGAGTCTACTTCACATTCCAGTGATCCTTTTCTAACCAGACGTTTGTTTTCTGCAAAAGCTTGTTCTATATGTTTTGTTTATCATGCCCTGCTACTGTTTAGATTTCGGAATTTTTTTTCGGAATTAACGAGAAAATAGACTTGAAAATCGATAGTTTTCGAACGGCAGCCTGTCAAATTTTTGGATTTTTCCCAAACCTGTGCAACTCCACTACAGTAAACGGTATAGACTTGTGTCAGTACCCACCCCGTATTAAAATGGCCATAACTTTGCCAATTACAACCCAAGAGGTATGATTTTGGTACTAAACGAAGCTTATCATGACTTACGAATATTTCGGTCTAAACCATAAAATAAGAATTTTTTCAAACTTTCGAGAAAATCGTATAAGTATCACCCCTATTTTCTAAAGGACAAACCCCCGAAAGCTGTTTGCTGGAAGTGTCCTTGAGTAAAAGTGCTGTAACGGACTGACTATGCAAGGTACGAATTTGAGATAGAAAAACTTCAGATCCGTGTCCAGTGGAAGGCCAAATGCCAACTTTACCTCTCTGATAGTGTGAGAATCACAGCCTGTTAAAATTCTGGTTTTTCCCCAATCTGTGCAAGTCGACTGCAGTAAACAGTAGAAGCTGGTTTCAAGACCCTGTTCCCATACTAAAATGGACACAACTCTGCCAATTTTGACCCGATAGGTATGATTTTGGTTTCAAACAAAAGCTTAACACACCCTGTGTCTATTTCAGTGATTATTCAGGTTTTGTTTCGCTTACAGGCGGTCACGAGTCTCGGTGTACACGTGGGGCTACTTTTCGATAGGCAAAATCAAGTCAGAAGTCATCAATGGAGTGTTCGGGAAGGTTAAGATAGCTTGCCACACATGGTAATATACGCCCACTGGCAGCTTTGATTTTGAATAGATAATTTGATTTACATACTAAATATTTTTCTATATTTCTGATAGTTTAATCATAATTCATTGAAATACTCAAAGGATTGCATACAAGTTTCAAGAACTTAGGGAAAATCCCCCATGAATATTTTTGATAAGATTCATCATTGGGTGATAACAAACATTCACATCAAGTTTGGTCAAAATCTGTCATTAATTGAACCTTCCAGAGTGTTTACAAGCTAAAATTGAACGCGTTTTCCAGAACAAGGGTAGTAACTCTTACTAATTATTTTTCGATTTTTTCTGATTTTCAATAGAGTTCATCCTTGGGTGATTACAAACAAGCATGCCAAGTTTCGTCAAAATCGGTCAAGAAATGTGCGACGGACGAACCGACGGACATGGGTGCCGACTATTTCATGTGGGCGTTTACTATAAAAATGGTTCGCAATAGGTCTAACTTTGTCATGTACGATGTCGTAACGATTGCAATTTAAACAGGATCGCAACGCATTTTGAGTTTCGCCAACTTATTGAATATCGTACTTTTTGCAAGAAATTAGGTACAGTGGTGTAACCTATTTTCGTGCATATAAGGATTCAACACCGAATTTCGTCAAAGTTAAAAAAAACGAAAGTCTTAAATGTTTCCTCAGATATTCTACAAAATAATTAAAATTGGTTTGTTTCGATTTTCTTTATGAATTCTTCACTTTGACCCATATTTCATGAGCAACCAATTCGGCAACGGCGGCAGAATGCGTCACCTATTTTCGTGTACAATGTTTGATCTATAAATAGGTCGAGAAAAACACGTTGGTGGTAAATTTAACTTCTCTTAGTATTTATCTTTAATATATTTTGTATTTGTCAAAGTATACATTAATACATTTTACCTTGCTTGAAAATCCTGGATTCATTCTACTAGCTGACGTTGTAGAGGTAACCCACGTTTATCGAAACAAGCACATGCGGAGGTCACGCGAGGTCGCATATGTAAATTATAATCATTTCCGGAAATGCACGAAAAATAGGTTAGCACGAAATTAGGTTACTTGACTGTATATCAAATTTTGGTCAACACAAAAAAATAGGTGGCTCATAAGGAAAGTTTAGCTGTTCTTCTTACTTTGAAAATAGTAAGAAATTTAGTATGTGTTCGCGGGTACGACACACTTAACCTCCACACGGTATTGGAACAAAGCCATTAAAAGGGGGAGGGGGTCATTTTTCTTCTGAAGATGTGAAAGAGTGTAGTTTTTGATTTGGCTCAAATATCTTTTAGAGTAACCCCCCGCTCTTAATTTATCATTTTGATCTCGCGAGACAAGTTAGTTGATTTAGTAAATCGATTCAGAAAATCGATGTCGTAAATGTGAAAATTTACTGAATCAGATTAACCAAATTTTTCCCGTAAAAGCGTTTGTTGTAAATCGATCGAGTCCATCCAATCTCGTAAAAACGCTTTTTAAAAACACTTTGATATCTACTTTCTGACTTTCCATAAATTTTTGGTACCTTTTTCGATATACTAGCGGTCAATTTAACTGAAAGGTGGTGGTTGTTTAGAATTTCAAAATATCGCCAAAATTTGTCAAGTGATTTAGTCCAAATGATGAAAATATCGACAAGAAACCTTTTATAGGAAAACAATTTGTAGGGTGAAAACTCGATATTTCACGCTCCCACTCGGCCATAAAAATAAAATGTTTGCATATGCTACTTGGGGGAAAGCGTTTCCCCAAGATACTTGAAGATCATTGTCAATATTAATATACCTTGAAGTCACACCCAATTTAAGAAACACGGCATTTTGTGGAATATCTAATTGCTTAATTTTTTCTACAAAATCGTTAATATCTTTAAGGTACGGTACTGGAAGTAAAAAGAGGTCAATATATCCCGAAGGATTCTCTTGCGCAATCTAAAATCATTGATCGCCCCTTCGAAATTTTATTTGGAACCGACCACCCTGTTTCTGGATTCTTATGAATTTTTGGCAACGTATATAATATGTGGCTTTGTCGAAAATTCGGATCCGTGGAAAAATAGTCAAATTGGGAATCAGAGATATATTTTTTTGTAACTAGAATTCGCAAAATTTCGTTTATTTTCTTAGCGGTTTCCATAAAATAAGTTCGCGATAATGATCTGGGTATTCTAATTGCTTATTAATTTCAGAAATATAGTTAACGCGGTTTTGAAGAACAAAATGTTCATCGCTTTTACGAAAAATAATGCTGCTATCATTTTTCAATTCATTTATAGCTTATTTTTTCAAAGTTTACGATCGGTAAACAATGAAACCTTTAAGTACATATTTTTGCAAATTGAAAGAATTGCATTGTCTATCGAGCTATCCGGTGGAATCCAGCCAGATTTTTCCGTAAATTTCGTACCTTTACCACGGCCAAGCTTTATGCGTACGATAAAAGCGGTAGTGTTGAGGTTGGCTTTGCCACAGGTGCAAAAGTTTGCAACTACGGGGGAAAGTTTACGGTCACTATATGGTTAACAACCGTTTAGTACAGATACTTCGGGCAGTGGAGGCCGTCCAGTGGACGTGATCCTAGTTTACATCGACCACTCCATTGAATATTGGGATGGTAGTGGCAAAAAGAGAAGGCTTGTGGTAAATTAGGTAGTTATATCTTCTGAGATGTGTAGTTTCAGCGGGTTTAACGCGGTTCAGGGCAGTAGAAATGGGGATTGAGTAGTTAAAAGATTAAAAGTTAATTGATTCTCCATTTTCTGTTCTGTTGTTGATGCCCACATGAAAAGTACTTTCTTTGGAATATTGGTTGGTGCTGCTTTTCATAAAGTAATGTGGCTGATACGGGCTCCGAGGTCTGTTAACAAATCTAAAAAGTTTAACTCTTGTTATCCATGCAATCTATATCATTTTGTATTTGGGATCTCCTTCTTTACATTAGTTATTTCGCCTTGTCGCCCAACGTTTGAAAGTTTTTACCGCCCATTTATTCCGCCTCAGCGTATTTTTAGGAACTGATGTCTGGGCAACTTACATAATGTCTTCATCCTTTGATACTTAAAAACTTGATCATTATCGTACACATTTTCTTCAGCATTCGATGTATCGGAATAAATGTCCATGTTTTTATCAATATCGGTTTCGA